AACTAGAAGCACTAGAGTTTCTTTCAGTATTCTTTTTTGTTTTGTTTTATCTTGCTGAATTGGTTACTGAATTTGTGCCAAAAAGTATCATCACTAAAATATGGGCATAGAGTGAATAATGCCCATGATTCTTAAATTAATTCATTAAAACTATCAAAAATTCATAGTGCTACAAAAATCTGGAGTCTAAATTATGCCCACAAAAATTAAAGGCATTTCTAACAAATAGTTCTGTGGCAAATTTATGTAGAGGTAACTTTCAGGAAGTACATGTTTCTTCACTTTAATAATTTTATTTAGAAAATACGTTTTTTGTCTGGTCATTCCATTGGGTTTCTTTTTGTTTTAGTTTTTTTTGTTTGTTTGTTTGTTTTAATTTTAAAACTGAAAGGCTGTTGAAATTTGTCGACAACTAAAATTCAGGTTTTAAAAATGGCCACGTTTGACTTGTTTCCCTTTTTTGTTGGGGAATTTTTACCTAATCATGTAACAACTTTTATGCATCAAATAATTAGTTCATGGGGGAGCCTGGCTGGCTCAGCTGGTTGAGCTTCGGACTCTTTGTTTTGACTCAGGTCATGATCTCCTGGACTGTAAGTTCAAGCCCGGTGTTGGGCTCCGTGCTGACAGTGCGGAGTCTGTTTGAGATTCTCTCTCTGCTCCTCCCCACTCTCCTTCAGCACGCAGGCTCTCTCTCTCTCTCAAAAATAGGTAAATAAACTTAAACAAAAATAATTACCTCTCTAGTTTTTAGTAAGTTGCTGAGTTGAATTCCTTCCTCAACAGTGATAGGATACACAAACTGCCATCTACCCCTAACACACAGAACATGATCTGACCCCCAAGTTTTACACTTTTCCATACCAATTATTGCCACCCAACATGGTACATATTTTGTCTATGTATCTTATTGTTGTCCATCAACTCCTAGAAGACAGCAAACTCCACACAGGTGGTGATTTTTGTCTGCTATGCTCAGTTCTAGCATGGGTAATCATGTCTAGAACATGGTAGGATGTTCAAGAAATAGTTAGTGAAAGGTATAGAATTTTATTCTATGGCATTTAACCTTTGCTCACTTTCCATCAGGGTCATTAGCTTCTGACTTCCCCATGCGTGGTTCTTCTTATCTCAGTTCCTATTATTATTACATCCTCAGGAATGCATTTCCTGGGTGCCTGGGTGGCTCAGTAGGTTAAGAGGTCGATTTGGCTCAATCATGCATGATCTTGTGACTTGTGGGTTTGAGCCCCATATCTTGTTCTCTGCTGTTGGCATGGAGCCCACACTTTGGATCCTGTCTCCCTCTCTCTGTCCCTCCCCCGCTCAAGCTCACTCTCTGTCTTTGTCTCTCTCAAAAATAAATAAACATGAAAACAATGCACTTCCGATGTGCTCTATGTAATTATGTGTCCTCGTGTCTTGTTACCTCATTTTCCTCATACATCTTAACACTAGCTGAAAATGATGTACTTACTAATTTGTTGTTGTTGTTGTTGTTGTTGTTGTTGTGGCCATCCTTTTCTACAATATAAGGCTTGTGATAAAATGGACTTCATTTAACTTGTTAACCACTCTATTCTCAACACCAAACATTTGATTTGATCAATGTGAATTTAAATTGATGTGAATAAATCAAAGAAGTACGTGCAGATATCATCTATGAATGATTTTCTATGTAACATGAGTTGTGGTCAAGTTCTGGAATAAATTGTTATGAAACAGAAAGTGCCAGCAACAAATAAATAAATTGGTTACCATGTCGATCATAAAACTAAGTTTTGGGAAACTTAATTTTCCTTGAAAATGACGCTTGATCAGAAAATCTTATCTTTGTAGCACACCCTGGCACAAAGAAATTACTTTGTAAGATCTTTTCCATCTTGTCTTTTCATCATGGTTCAGGCTGGTATAAGTCTGTTTTCTGCTTGTCCTGAAAGGCACCTACCCTGATTTGGATAAAGGTTCAGCCTTCAGTCATTTGGATTGATTGAAAATATTTCCTTCCATTGGCCATTAAGAACCACTATATGATTGAGAAAGTAGAATCTTATTACTGAAGAATACATTGTGTTGAGTGATGACTTTACTCTGTTGGCAAAATAATACCGATACGTGTTAACCATAAAAATTGAAGCAATATAGAGGAGGAAAAAGTAAAGACAGATGGAAGTGTGGGTCAGAGGATACCGTAACTGGGTCCTCTGCTGAAACCTCAGCGCCTCTCAGGCTGAAATCAAGGCGTCGGCTGGGGTGCCATCTGATTTGAAGCTTCGAGACACTTTCCAAGCTTATTGGTTGTGGGTGGAATTCATTTCTTTGTGGCTTTATGACTGAGGTCAGTATTTCTTGCTAGTTATTGGCTAGGTTTCAGTGTCAACTCCGGTAGGCGCCCCTTGAGGACTTGCCAGGTGGTTTCTACCCTCGTGAGTTTACTTCTTCAAGGCCAGGAGGAAATTATCTGCACTGCCTTTTTTTATTTATTTTTATTTTTTAAGTTTATTTTAGCCATCAGGTGGGAGTGGCACCTTAATCAAGTAGGTAAATAAAATGAAAAAAATGTAGATCTTGTCTAGAAAGAAGTTGCCCAATCATGTAGATAATCAGGAGCATTTTGATGCCTAGGAGAAAGTAATGGCGGAGGAGGGGAACACATGGTATTAGTGGCTATATTCTGAGACAGAAGTAAATTCTGGCCCCCTTCCCCCCAAAGGGGTAAGTATAAGCTAGGACAGCTCAGTTAGCTTTCTAGGCAAAAGGACCCAAGGTAATCATGTCAAAATAATCTTACGTTAGAAGATAGGGGTCAGTATGATGGAAAATTATATTGTTTCACATTCATAGAGCATTTAGGGTTTATAAAAACAGGAAACTTATGTTTCTATGTCCTTTAATTTGAATGACCTAGCACAGCACTCTTTCTTACACATCGGTCTCTCTCATTCACTGAACGAGATGACATGTTTCTCACTAATTTCTGAGTTTGTTGAATGTAGAAAAAGCAAATCTTGTCATTGCACCCAGGATGTATTCCAAGCCTCACCACCATGTAGGCTGTTGATATTTTTTAAATTAATTCAATATTAAATGGCTTAATTTTGTTAGATATTTCTTCTTTTTCTCAACCTAAAGTTACCATTTTAATAATTTGAATTTTGTTAATTCCACTGAGACACTATTACAATAAGCCTAACTGAGGTTCAAAAGGATATCCCTTTAATATTTAAAAATGGTTTTCCTATCTTGCTTTGATCTTTATTCTACGTAAACATTCTCAGTAATTGTTAACAGTTTCATATTTTGTGCTTGAATAATGCTTTGCTGTCCTAGTCTGGCAATTGGTTTTTGTTGTTGTTGTTTGTTGTTTTGTTTTGCTTTTTCATGATTTTGATTCCTTTAACAAAACACAGTAGTCAAGCTGTAGGCTTATCGAAATAGCATCATGGGACTACCTCCTTTTTCGTTCTTGATATTATGTTCCTATTCATTTAACCAATAGCTAAAATATCAATGATGGCATATTATGCATGCCATTATTTACTTTTATTGGCTTAATGATAAATTGAAATTCTTAACAAAACAGATGGAAATTGAAGAAAATCAATATCATATTGACATAATATAATAGGCAAATAAGCATGAGACAAGTCACTAAAAATACATAAAAAGATAAAAGAAAACATTGAGCGCAAAGCAGATAAAAAAATGAATAAAATTGGACAAATTAGATAAATAAGGGAATAATTACAGGGAAAATAAATATAGATTCTCCTGAATGAAAATTATTGTGAACAGAACTTAATGTCACGTCTCGGTGGTGTTACTATTTGCTCTAATAAACTCCATGGAATTGTGAGAGTTTTTGAGGATTTCACAGGAATTTTTAAAAATTTTCCATTTTCATCCTCAGAGAAAGTGCATAAAATTATGGTCTTATCCTTAAGGGAGAAATAGATCTCCCTTATTTTCCCCAGGTGTGCTGAGACAAAAAACAGATCTGTTGACACAGCAATTAGCAAGTCATTGGAGTCATAGCAGAGGGAATTAATTGAGAAAACAGAAACTACTAAAGGTCCCTGAAAATCTCTATGTTAATGTTAATTTCCTATTGTCTTAGTTTTTCATAGGTGATGAGAAGGGAGAGCCATTGACTCTAAAGTTTATATAAAGCACCGTGGCAACCCCATATTTCCAGAATGTAATATTTTCAGTTATTTGTAACGTAAAACAAATAGAATAAAAGTGAAAGTAAGCAGTAGTAACGTATTAAAATAGAGAATCAGTGACTTCTGGACAAATGACTTCCAAACACCATGTTTCACAATTGTGTTTAATTAGATCATATATGTTCAAGGTAAAAGATTGGTAAAATATCCTAATGATGCATTACAGTGCCTACTAATTATATATACAATGCTGAGAACACCAAAGACCAAAACTCTATAATTACCACTGTGTATGCTTTAAATCCTGACAGAGTCCTTTTTTTTTCAGTGAAAAGACTTAAACAGTAAAAAAAAAATTTAATAAAAAATTATATTACTGTCAAAATAAGAAGAGTAGTTCAAGAAAAAAAACATATTTTGTTGTACCAAATTTTAAACTGGAACGTAGACTGTCCTAGCTATCCAATTTCAATTTTATTGTATTTTAATTATAGCTTAATTCCACTAGATGTCAGTATTGTATAAGATCAGAAAATAACTTGCCTTAAAATTTCTCTTCGTGTTTTAACCGCTCCTACAAAATGAATAAGCCCTACTTAAGCATGTATGTGCACATACGTGCCATTTTAGTATATGCAACTAATTATCGTTACAAGTTACCCAGAATAATCTACAAGAGTGTGATTCCGAAACTGTGTCTTCACCCACTAATTACAAGTTTTGAAACTGATTCAGAATTGGTATTACCTTGCAAATGTTCTGAAACAATGTTCACCATCTTTGCCACATTCTATATGCATGCACCTCTTCATTTTTGATTTGTCCTTATTCCAGCCATTAGATTTTGAAACAAAGAAGGCATATACTTTTAAAGTAGAAGCCTCCAACCTTCACATTGACCACAGATTTCACTCCGCGGGCCCTTTTAAAGACACAGCCACAGTGAAGATCAGTGTGCTGGATATTGAGGAGCCACCGGTGTTTAGCAAGCCGCTCTATACCATGGAGGTTTATGAAGACACTCCAGTTGGGACCATCATCGGTGCTGTCACTGCACAAGACCTAGATGTGGGCAGTAGTGCTGTTCGGTAAGAAAAAGAAACTTTTCATTTTCTGTGTGTCGGAAGAGAAAGGAAAAACAATGCTCTGTCCAAACCTGCATGGATGATTGAGTTTGGGGAAAATGTTATGCCTTCGCGTTATACGTATTAGAGGAAAAGCCACAGGATTTGAACAAAGACATCTGCTATCAGTCCCTGTAGCAGTGGCTTAACAGTGGCATGATGGTGAACATGTTACTCAAGCTAACCAGTCGCAATTTTTCATTTGTAAAAGGCATTTATTAATACAACCTCAAAGGATGAATTCCCATGATTCATGATATGGAGATACTTTCACAGTACCTGAAGTATAGTAGACATTTAATACATTTTTTCAATTACTCAAAAATCTCTGTCTCTTGCTGGAAGTTAGTGTTTGAGAAAAATGGTTTGACCACTTGCCATTTGCAGTTCATTTTTTTCACTGACAATTGTGTCCACTGATGAAAGCAGTTAGAGCCAGTTCTAGGGTAAGATGAATTATGGAATTGCTCAAAGCCCAGACGTTACAAAGAGCTCCTTTTGCTATAAGGCTGCTTGCTGGGTAGTGAGTCAACAAAGCCATTGGTAAAGTAAGAAAATAATCTCTCTCTCTCCTTCCTCCCGAAACCCATACATTCCATTTGTACTACTACTGAAAAAGTGGGATTTCCCTTTCCCTCACTTATACATTGATTCTGCGATATAGTTTGAGACTTCCTATTGATTCAACTCTATTTCTTCTGAACCTTTCAATTCCCTGCTAGCTGCCCATATCCCACATGCATACAAGAACTGGGAAAACAAACAAACAAACAAACAAAAGTAGAAAAGAAAGAGAGAGAGCAGTGTGTGATTTGTTCTGAATCTTCCACCTCTAAGGGGTTAAACCTTCATATACAAAATCAGACCAAAGAAAAGTTGGCTTTTGATGCAAAAAACACTATTGACCTAAGGAAAATATATAAACTCATATCTTATAAGACTTTCTGTCATGGGGCAATAATACAAAAAATGCATAAATCATTCAGTGGTTACCTCAACACATTCATAGCATATAGGAAAGTCTCAGGAAATGGCTTCAGAGCAGGTAAGCCTTGTTCTTTGTATTCATATGAATCTATCTCCCAAGATGGTCTGAGTATTCCTCTTCTCGAAACACGTCAGTGGTCAGGAGAGAACGCTAAAGAAGCACCATTTGTCTTGGGAAAGAGAAGAGAAATAGAAACTCCTGAGTGCCCCTACATGTCAGGTTGAATGCTGGTTAATTTCCTCATTGGATTCAAGTTGTTGTTCTACATTGAAATTCTCTATGATACATACAGTAAATGAGAATTCTGGAACATAGTGAAACATGACATCTAGAGAACAGGCTAAGTTATTTAATGTACTGTATGTTCTATCTTTGAAGACTGATCAAAGCATGATGGGATCAAAATATTTATAAAATATGAACTTAATGCAGTATGTCAAAAACAAAACCAAACAAACCGGAGAATTTATAAGGAAACCCACCACCTGGCAAATGTGGGAGGGTGGTGAGGGTTTCAGATTTCCAAATACAAGAACATGTTTAGAGTTAAGATCCTGGTGTGAGGAATAAAGGAAAGCTATGTTTTAGAGAAACACTTCAACTGTAAGACTGGTTTTGTTGTTGGTGGTGGTGGTGGTGGGTGGGGGGAGGTTACTGTCACGCGAGCTAGTGTCCGACAAGAGCTACTGTATATGGAAAAAAGCGGCATCACTAGTCTTCCTTCTAATGGGTAGCAGCCTGACTCACCAAAGCTGTAGACCCAGAGGGATCTAATTGATCCCCGTGAGGGGTTGTCAAAAGACAGAGCCGCTTTTGAGTCAACATGAAAGCTCTCTTCCTTCCATGTCCTTGGAGTAAATAATAAGCTTGAATCATGTCAGTTGAGGAAACATAGGGTATGAATCATCGTATTTTGGGCCTGAAAACATGTTTGCTCACTTAAAAATGGTAGTAAAAAGATGTTGTGAAAAATAAGCATCGAAATGTGGAATTACCTAACATTTAGGTACACTTTGTTTCCCTTTGCTTCACTGTCTTTTCACAGGGTTACTGTACGAGGCATTAATTCAGAGCTACATTATTCCATACCAGTGGGTATTTTATTACCTTTTTAAGGTTTATTTATTTATTTTCAGAAAAGAGAGAGAGAGAGAGAGAGAGAGAGACCACAAGCGGGGGAGGGGCAGAGAGAGAGGGAGAGAGAGAATTCCCAGCAGGCTTCATGCTGTCAGTGCAGAGCTCGATCCCATGTACTGTGGGTTCATGACCTGAGCTGCAATCCAGAGTCGAATGGTTAACTGACTGAGCCACCGAGGCACCCCAGTATATTATTTTATTATCACTGAGCCCAGAATAAAGAACCAGAATGCAATGGCATTAAGCAAGGATTAAAACAGTTTTGAAGAAAGGTACAGTTGGGTGTGATAACTCCAAATGTAGTTGACCCTTGAACAATGTGGGGGTTAGTGGCTCTAACCCTCTGCATAATTGAAAATCCACACGTAACTTGACTCCCCAAAATCTCTAATAGCCTATTATTGACCAGAACCCTCATGATTAATGTAAGCAGCCATTAACATATATTTTGTATGTTATATATATTATATACTGCATTCTTAAAGTAAGCCAGAAAAATAAAACGTATTAACAAAAGCATGAGAATGATAAAATACATTTCCAAAACTGTTTTGTATGTATCAAAGAAGACCCTCACATAAGTGGACCTGTGCCGTTGAAACCTGTGTTGTTCAGGAGTCAACCGTATACCATATCTGGTCCCCCCCATCCCAAGCTTAATTTCTCATTATTGTTTCCTTTACTCTTCTAGCCTTTGCTAGTAGATACATTGATTTCCTGTCTCTAATGTTCTGTATCCTTTGACCCTCTTATTATATAGTTTATGAGAACAGTTTCTTCTGAGTCAAGTGAGAATGAGTTTGCCCACCACTGGTGAAGTGAGGGATTTTCACAACAGTAGTCTCTTAAGCTTAGAAATGAAATTTAATATATATGATCACTATTCAGTTACATGAAAATTAACATTTGTCTTGAGTATGAGTGATTTGAACTACAGAGAGATTTTAGTGGATAATTTTGTTCAGTCTGCCATGTTTCTTTTGTTACAAAGACATTAACTTCTTAGTTATCCTATGAATTTTAAAAGAAAATTTAATCTAATTAATTTTATGTATAAAATAGGAAAAGGGATAATTCAATTCTAAACTCAATCTATGTAAGAAGTATGGGATGATAAGAATCTGATGACTCAAAATGTATTTTGTGCATATAAACTTCCATATATAAATTCAAAATAACATAATTTAATTGAACAACTAAAATGCTCCTTATTCATGTAACCTTCTGTTTAACGGTATTTCTAACCAAAACCTACCACGTAAATCAAGTAGTAAAATCAATTAATAAACAGAAAACCATTATCAATTACCATAAGTAGATTGTGATATTTAAAATAATTAACAACTTGTCATTAAAATAGAAATGTTTATCTGTGTCCTGCTTAAAATTATCTTAAATCCTAAATTTGGTCTGTTCACCAGAGTTTTGGGAAAAAAAATCTGTAATCAACTGGCATTGATTTTTTCATCATGAATTAAGAGACTATCAGTGTAGCTGATTTTTATTTGAGAGACATTTCCAATACATCAAAAATCTTATTATATGGACAGGAAGTTGAGCTCAACTACAAAACACCCTTAGGAGGTGAGAGGAAAAAGAGACCCAGCTTATCAAATACCATCTGGTAGCAACATATATAATTTATTTTCAGTGGTAATTAAATGGTAAAAATTCGGGGTGCCTGGGTGGCTCAGTCAGTTGATCGTCCAACTTTGGCTCAGGTCATGATCTCATGGTTCCTGAGTTCGGGCCCCGCATCGGGCTCTGTGCTGACAGCTCAGAGCCTGGAGCCTATTTCCGATTCTGTGTCTCCCTCTCTCTCTGCCCCTCCCCTCATGTGCTGTGTCTCTCTCTGCCTCTCAGAAATAAAGAAAAAACTAATAAAAAAAAGATTTGAAAAAATGGTAAAAATTCAGGAGTGTCTGGGTTGCTCAGTCAGTTGAATGTCCAATTTTGGCTCAGGTCATGATATCATAATTCGTGAGTTCAAGCCCCACATGGACTCACGGCTGTCAGTGCAGATCCCACGTCAGATCCTCTTTCCCCATCCTCCCATTTTTGCACTCCCTGTCTCTCAACAACACGAAACAAAACAAAACAAAAAACAGGCAAAACTTCAAAATTCAAAAAGTTGCCCACTCCCAGACATTAATACATTCAGCCTCTACTGCAGTGTCTAAATTCCACATTCCCCTTTTCCCCCTAAGTTTCTTTGAATTTTTCCATAATACCAGGTTCTCTCTACTTTTTATTCTCATATTTACATCATTTGTATGCCATATATTTATTTTTTCACATCTTTAATTTTTCATTCTCCACTTTCATTTTCATTTATTTAGTGAGATTTTTGTACGATTAAATGATGAAGTATTGGTATAAATTTTTTTTTTACATTTTATTAAGTTTTTCATAGATGTCTTGCATTTTTTTGATGTTTATTTACTTTGAAGGAGAGCATGAGGGGGAAGGGGCACAGAGAGAAGGAGACCCAGGATCCAAAGCAGGCTCCAGGCTCTGAGCTGTCAGCACATAGCCTGACACAGGGCTTCAACCCATGAGCTGTGAGATCATGACCTGAGGTGAGGTCGGATGTTTAACTGACTGAGCCACCCAGGCACCCAAGATTTTTACATTTTAGCATTTTTAGAGAAGTTTAAGTTCACAGTAAAACTTAAGTTTGCAGAGATTTCCCCGATATCCCTTGCCACCACACATGCATAGGCTCCTCCATGACTGATGTCCACCAGAGTCGTACGTTTGTTCCAACTGAACCTACACATCATAATCACCCACAGTCCATAGTTTACCTTAGGATTCACTCTTGGTTCTGTACATTCTG